TTGAAGGCTTAGTCCACTTTGATTCTAGTACGAGAAACATATTGTACTAAGTGAAGGTTTGAAGACATTGTCCACTTTCATTATGCATAATATTCCGCAAGAGCTCAAGTATTATTATTATTCTTATTTTTATTAAAAATAGTGGGGGATTGTTGGGATTTTTAATAAAAATAGTATTTTATTAAATATTTTATTTGACCAATTTATGAGGTCATTTAGAACATTATTTTGAAACTTCCAAAGACATTATTTTGTCTCATAAAACCTCAATATTTTCCTTTAATTCTATATTAAATGGAGGTTTTATAGTGGTCATATTTTATACTATAAAAAGGGGGACTTTGTGGTTTTACAAGGAATAAGAGTGAAGAGAAAAAGAAACACCTTTCATCTATACTACTTTGAGCTCTTGTTGTGTGTCGGGTGTAAGCTTCTACTTCACTCGAACGTGCAATTTCGGTGAAGTTACGGCGGAGAGATAGGCTGGGCTGTTGTATCCCATAGGCGACACGATCGGAACCTTTTTGCACCTCACTAGAGAAGGGGTCGTGAAATTCGTCTTAAGAGAGCGACCTAGTCCGCGCCTCACCTTGCCTATCTCCATATTATCGTGGCTTTTATTGCAGCAACTTGTTACCTATAAAATTGGAGAACAAATGGAGTCCAAGCCTCAATCCACAAGTTTCGTGATCGTTCGTCAAAGTGCAGCCGTGGTTCCAACACCTCGTAAAATAATTATGAAAAATATCTCCATTCTACAACTATAAATAGGGGTCATTTGGGGGCGATTAAACACATTTAAGAAGCTTAGGATTACAAACACGAAATTGTATGTGGATTTCTTTTACAAGTTCTACGGTACTTTTTTTTTATTTTTTGAACATAAACCTTTCATAACCAATCAGCAAAATAAAACAAGTTACATGGAAACCAAGAGCGATTACAATGGTTCCAAATAGTTCTAGAAAATTCAGATATAAGATCATTACACAAAAGATCATCAAAGAAACTGGGACAAGAGTCAAACATCAAAATATTAATATCTTTCATAAAAGTCTAATTTTTAGCAAGTACGTCAGCAGAACTATTGAGCTCGCGATAACAAAAGTTTACAACAACTTTGTTGAAATGGTGCATCATACTCCAAAAGTCCTCAAAGAGCGTTTGGAGGCTATTGTGAGGAACTTCCTTACTGTTCAGTCAGGAGATCAAGAATGTTGAGGCAGTTTCAAAATATTATAAGATTTTGAATATCAAGATTGTTAGCATATTTAACACTAGAGCATAACGCCCAAACTGCGGCTTTGTTATTGGATGCATATCCTATGCTTTTAGAGAATGCCATAATAAAATTACATGCATTATTTTTTGTGATACCTCCAATACCTGTTTTACCTGAGTTGTTAATCGAGGAACCATCAATCGAGTAATTTAAACCATCCCTCGGGAGGTGGTTGCCATTTGATGATCAGGTTTAATTTTTCATTTTGATGATGGTTTGAGGTAGGAATAAAATAGGCATATGTGCTCCATATAAGATAAAGGTTAATCGGTTTTCTTTTGAAAATAAAATCATTACGAGCCTTCCAAATAAGCCAGAAAATGGCGGCAGTGCTATTTGATGAAATTAAATTACTGGAGAGGTGATGAAATAAAGCACAAAGAACATAAATTAGAGTGAATACATTTTCTTTTGGAGAGGAAATCAGCAATAGGGAGGCGGTGATGCGCAAGTTGCCATAAGAAAAACTTAATTATATGACTAATTTTCATATTTCAAATGAATTTCCAGGGAAGAGCGGGAAGTTGACTGAATAACTTAGTAGACATAATCCAATTATATGCATTTTTCAAGGAGAAATTCACCATATTTTGTATGAGTCCATCTAAAAATATAGAAGTACCATGGAAAGGAATATGGGTAGCAAGGATTTTTTTTTTTTAATAAATGTGGGAATAAGATGGAGGATGCTAGATAAATCCCAAGATCTAGTTCTACTGTTTATGAATTTCGAAACTTTGTACTCTGTCATATCAGTAGGGATATTGTTAACATAATCAGTAATGATTAAATTATCGATCCATTTATCATACCAAAAATTAATTTTTATCACCACTAACAACAATCCAAAAACAACAACGTTTAAGATCACTTATGATTGTATATATGTTTCTTCTATAAAATACTATGGCGGGGTTTACGTTTAGCAGCTTGGGAAAAATCTATGGAGAAGGTTTGTACCTAGTATTCATTCGATAACCTAATTGTAAATTAATTATAATGTAACTCCCTACGTTTCAAAAAAATTTCGGGATAATTGTTGTGGTGGGACATAAATTAGCAAGGTTACAGTTAAACCTCTATTAATTAATACAGTTGGGACTGTCAAAATTCTATTAATTTAGCGAAATATTAATTTATCGAACTAATAATTTAATACGTTTTTACGGAGTCGGGACCGTAAGAAACTATTAGTTAAACAAGATTATTATTTATCGATGTTATACTGTATATGTAATTGAATTTGTGAGATGTTTGACTTTGTTCACACTATGCAAACAAGAAAGTGCATGAAACTAGAATGTGTACTGGATTCTGTATTACACTAGAATGTGTTCGACACAACAAATGAGAAAAATGAATGTTATATATATTCCTCATGAAGTTGAATGTTTTAAAAGTTTCCTTATGATTGATGTTGGTTGTTATAGCTTATTGCAATTGGGTGTTCCAAGCATTTATAAGAGCTGAGTCATATGACAGGTACACAATGTTGTATGAGTAACAACTGTTCTTTTTTCGTTTTCTGATGGTTATTATGCTATCGTAGAAACTGTGTATTCGGTTATGTTCTACGGTGTCTTAGAGCAACTCCAATGGGGGAATCAAATGGAGTATTAAATGATAAAACTTTCATTTTGATTCTCAAAACTCAAAATTTCTTCTCCAACGGAAGCACCAAAGGGGTAGTATTTTTGATACTTTATCTCCTAGAGGTGCAAAAATGCATCCAAAAAAACAAGTATCAAATATTCCTAGAAATTAAGAACTGCAATTTCAATGTAAAAATAATAAATTTTGTAACAAATTCCTATGGAATAGGGACCAAATATATCTTTTAATTTATGTTTAATACATTTTTTAAAATAAAATAATTTATTTGGTTCCTACTAGTTGGAGCATATAAGTTTGTTCGAAGTACCAAAGTATTATTTCAAGCATCAATTAATGGATGTCTCATTTTAATACCTAGCATTGGAGTTGCTCTATATGCTATCGTAGAAACTGTGTATTCCGTTATGTTCTACGGTGTTCAATCAACTTCAAAGTCATTCATCGCGGAACATTACAAATTATAACATTTAATTCGTAATAACAGTGTTGAACTCACGAACTAACGTCATTGAAATTCTTAAGTACATATTCGAGGAGATCGAAGCATCAATTCCTTCAAACATCACAAGTTTTTCAAGCATTGACATGTAATTAAATGTCAAATACAAAACCCTCGAATTTACATTATCCAATCACAAAATTACAATCAAATGAAATCAAAATACAAAATTCTTTCATATTTTAGAAATACGTTCATCACACGTTCGTCAAGCCTTGACGTTTGATGCGAGATCTAGTTACAAAACCCTTGAAAATTAACATGTTGGGTTACAAATTCAAATCCAGATGAGATCAAAAGACTAGGAGAAGAATTAAAAGATTCTAAATAGACATTCTAACCCAAATTTTATTTGAATCAATACTTTTAAAGAATACAGAGGCAAAATGTGTTTTTAACACTAAAACTCTAAAAGAGATGTAACAATAAAATTTTGATCAATATGAATAATTAATAAATGGTTGCGCCTATATGCAATACTAATTCCACTTGTGCAAGACCAAATTAAAGAAAGATTCCAAAAGACTCCATTTTATTAAATGAATGACAAATATACCCATAAATTAAATTGACTTTTGCACGCTCATGCAAGACCAAATAACAAATAATGAAGAAAAAAAACGACCCCCCCCCCCCCCCCCCCCGCGTGAAAAACCCTACCCTACGTCCAAGCTCCGCCGACCGCCGCTCTTGATACAACGTTCTTGATGTTTTGTACATATTTTTTAAACCTTGGATGAATTTGGATAATAAACTGCGTCTTCGCATTCGCCTTTTGCTATAAAAATAAATGAATATTGAAATAAAAAATAATTGGAAAATAGAAAGTTAAAAAAAATATGAAACAACTAAATTTCGACATTAAGGTGTCGAATATATGTCCATAAATTCGACACCTTAATGTCGAAAATTAGTATATTTGGACTAATTTGCTAACAGTTAAATTTCGACACTAAGGAGTCGATTTTTGTACTCTAAAATCGACATCTCAATGTCGATTTTTACCTATAAAATTCGACATGTACATGTCGACCGCGTCTGCGCGGGATTCTTTTTGAAAAACGATATTCTAGCTAAAAAACACATAAATGCATACTTTCTTGGGTTCTTCCACCGTAGAATCTTCTATTTTTATGTCTTCTGACTCCATACTTGCCATCTTTGTAAGATTTGTTGAGTTTTGATGATTTTGAATGTTTAAGTTTTGTGGGTTTATGGAGGAGGAAGGAGAACTGTTTTGTGGGTTTTGTAAGATAAGAGTTGGTCTTGTGATAGGATTTTTTGAGTTTTTGATATTGCACATTGGAATTTCTTTTTTTAACAAGGGTATTATAGTATTTATACATTGAAAATTTTAATTTAGTATTGCACAAGTGGAATTAGTCTTGCATATAGCCACAACCTTAATAAATTCAATTAAAATATAAAATATAACTTCATCTCTTTTCCCCCTCTGGTTTGGATGTCCATACCAACAATCAAAGTAAAACAACAAAAAATCATAAACTATTTAGACATTTCCGAAGATATTTCATAAATGGTTCATCCGAGCTAAAAAAATTATTGGCTCGTTGATTGCGAATCCGCCATTGAGACCAAGATATAAAACAATACTATTTTGATCTAAAATAAAACATGTCGATATAAACCAATGGAACTTTTAATCATATATATATATACATCGAACGGTAAACATCTCCACTATGGAGTATGGGCCAGCAGCTATTGAGTTTTGGCATGTCTATAGAGGTGAAACAGAGGGACAAAAAGAATAACCAATGAAGCAAATGTAGTTCATCAACATCCACAAATCAAAGGATAAAAACTATGAATATTACCATGAATAAGATTAGGATCAAAAACAATTTGATCATGAGCCACCTGTTTGACGAAATCCGATTCAAGTATTTCAGCAACGCATTATTAGCACCTTCGACGTTTGCCAGCGACTCGTCCATGTTGTCATCAATCCTGCTCATATTAAATCCATAAAATTCAGATCGGAAAACGATCAGAATACGAGAATGGGTAAATGTTTATAGTGACTTTCAATTGAAATAATATCTTGGATAATAAATAAAGGGCACTTATCTAGATTAAATATGTGAAATGTTCAAAGATTACCTGATAGCCAGCTCTCCTTGATGTGCAACCATTGTAGCCAAATGTGTGAAAACCCCACTCAGTTCCGAAATCGTAGATTCCACATTTTGAAGAGCAGAAGTCCGACTTTGAGAGATGCTTTCTTGCCGTGGGACCACCTGCTGCAACATGGCTGCTTCCATTTGAGGGGATGGATTAACATCCGTTGCCATTCTTCGCCTACATAAAGATATTTAATGTTAAACTAGGACCAAACGAGAGAGAACACAAATAGTAATGATTCAAAATTCGTATATGTGTGAATGAATGCCCACAAGTAGGTTTACTAAGGTAAAATAAGCCATGATTAATTAAATAATTAGGTCTTATTTGATTTTTGGTGAGTGCAATAACTTTCGGGCCGTCCCACGATTATGGAAAGATGAGATCTTATCTTGGCTTATTGAGTGAGTGATTGTGTATTCGACTTCCCCAAGTCCAGTTATAGTGGGCACCAAACGAAGGCCGTAAATATTAAACTGGATCACTTGTTCCCATGACTTAATCTGAAGAAGTTAACGAAACAAGATATTGAAAGAGAGAACTAGTTCCCCTAGAAACTGAGCTCAAGTTAACAGCTTCTCTGTTTGTTTTTCCCTTTACATGTGTGTTGACATTAGACTTGATTTGCTGATAAACAATATCCTAGTAGAATATTCTACACCAATAAATTGTATACTCAACCAAGAAAAGAAATACTTCAAACTCAGTTATACTTTCCAATTCAATGGAAAAAGAGAAAACGGGATGAGCAATATACATAGATCAATATAAAGTCAATGAAGAGACAGTCTTAACTGTACAAACAAGAAAAACTCAAATTTTAGGATTCCTAGCACATCACTATACGAAATTTGCTTACTTATAATGATCAAAAGATGAACTAGTTCTTGCACAATGACTGCTAATTATTTATAAACTTGATGAACCATTACAAATTACAGTGGACTAATTTCTGGCTGCTTTACCTCATTTTTGGAGTATGTAGGAGGGCGGCTGAGTAATTTTCTTAATTCTAATTTGGTATCTTTTGGGTGGGTGAATGATGGGTTGAATCCAGTGTAATTGAGGTAGATCCACCATTACGTATTATGGACAAAACCTTCAATATCCGAGTTAAGGCAAACAACAAACCTCAGGTCCAAGGTCAATACCGGGTGCTATTTCTATCTTAGTGAACAAGGACTGTATAATGGGTGCCAATAGACTCCAGTGTACAACATAATATCATATTTACCACACAGAAATTAGAGAAAAACATATAACCCGTATCAAATGAGACACATACCTTAGTTGGTTGCCAACTTGAACTCCGTTTTCTATTGATCTGATATGCAGAGTTGAGAAAAAAAATTAGAGATGAAACATATGTCTACAAAACAGTACATAATTTAGGCCAAAAGAAAAAGGAACCAAAAAAAAAGTTAGAATATAGCATTTCAATGCATTCACGGCAGTATAGAAGATTGTTTTTGCTATTTTCTTCAATAAATTATCAAGTCGAAAACCCCCCAAGGACATTATCATTTCAATTCAAATTAAGGCAAATGGCTTCCCTTGCTCCCAAAAATAGAATGAAGTAAAAAATGAAGTACAGATGATCAAGAAAGTGCAAATCCACTTGCTAAACATAACTTGATTAAAGGGGGTGATTATCAAAATATCAAGAATACCATCATTCATGCAAATAAATACGATCAATCAAGTAAGATTAAGTGCTTGAGAGTATCAACAAATGAATGGTCAGACAAGGGACTAAGTTGGTATAAGATTGAACTGAACCACATGTCAACCGTTAAAGCTCGGGCGATTAGAATATCAGCGTATATTGAAACTCAAGATACCCATCCAACTTCCAATTGATTTAACAGTACAGTACTCTAAAAGGTGCTAAGCTCAAACGGATTTTGAAGCATATAGATAAGAGCCCTCAAATGGAAGAACTAAACAGGGTATTCTATATTCTATATATAGCACACTACTCACCTATTAAGCACATCTCGATATGGAAATACTAATTTTGTAAAATTAACAGTAGAATTTGTTAGAATATTCAAAAGTAGATGAATAGTATTAACCTCAGGTACAGTAGACTAGGAATATCAGAAAAGATGCAAAGCATTTAAGCATTCTTTATCGAAAGAAACAAGCTAGTGTTGACATAATAAAAAAACATGGCTATTTTATTCGATCCTGAACACACACAGCAAAAATGAAATGCAAGCATGTAACCTAAGCGAATCAGCTGAGAGTTTTACATCTTTAACAATGAATTCAAGTCATGTTGATTTGATAAGCTTATGGATTTCTATTATTCAGAATATATGTTTCCTATTTAAGATGCGATGTTCCGAAATGTTCACGATAACAACAACCACCTGACATTTTATTCGAAAAGACTTCATCGATGAATGCAGTTCTATACAATCGAAGTTACAAGTAATGCACAATGATAATCCACACAAGAAAATGTAAGTTATAAACTTTGTGTACATTGTAATGCAGAGTCATTGATGGGATTACTAGGTCCGAAACAACTTAATTCCAGGGCGACCTAGGGAATCACATACTAACAAGAATCTTAAGACACTAAATTGGAAAAGAAGAAGTGTACACATTATCAACGACGCATGTGGTCACTCATTGGCAAATTTAAACAAAAAAAGTCAGACTGTTAAACATTTTATGCAAGAGTGCGTACTGTATATTATCATAATTATCTTCATCATTATATAACTACCAGCAAGTACGACATCAAAATCTGTAACAAACCAGGCAAAAAGAATTTACCCTGATGAATGCAGATTTCCTCCTGATGAATCAGATGAGCTCAACCAAGGGGGTGGTTCCGTCACATTATTAGGGGGTTGTTTTAAAGGTTTCTCTCTTGAGACAACTGTTGAAAATATCTGTTTCCGGTCCTCATGAGCCTTAATGTTCTGTGGAGAAAGTAAAAAGACCGGTCAAGAATAAGATGACATTTTCTGCTCAGCAGACGAAGAATAACATTATCAGCTATAGGAAATGTACCTTTGTTCTAGTAGTCAAGACATCTTGGAACTGCTTAGTCGCACTCATTAGTCTGTTCTTTAAATCATCACAAACAGCAGTCAAATGAACAACTCTATCCCCTGAATAACTTCTTTCGGCAATCTCCGCGTTTTGAAGAGTTTGCAAATCAGAAATAGCCATTTTTAACGCCGTAACATCATTTTTAATTAAGGAAGTTAGTTCTTCATTTTCCTTGCTTCGATCATCGAAAATAGATGACCTTTTGGTCACTGTACCCATGAGCATGTGTATTAGAAACATGAGGGCAGCACTGATAAAAGAAAGGCAATAATCTAATACTCATTGGAACGTTTATTACTATCACATAGTCTAGTATCAGGTATTCTCTAAAAGGGTATATTAAAGGAGTCGACATGAGACAGGACAACATAAAATGCATGTACTCAATGAAAAGAAAAACACAACAAAATTTTGGAAAGAAACTATTTCTAAATCATGTATGTGAGAGGGCCAAAGTACGTCTTATAGCAGAACGAAAACAAATTAGCAAGGCAAAAGCAGCAAATGACCAAAACGAGGGGTGTTTTCAGTAGAGCATTTAGTGTTGAATTCACACAACTTAAATATGACTAAGCATGAGGGAACATAACTTCAAAGAGAGTTTAAGATTTTAGTTCAATAATTCTGGAATAATGAGAGTGTGGCAGGACCAGATTCTAACTTCACTGCATACTCGATCGTTGCCCTGTCAGAAACAACAATGTATATTGAAATATCGGGATACGGCTTCTTTGCTGTATGAGATACTAAACAAGGACTAGTATTTAATATTGACAATTCTTCAGCATAGGTACCGTATAAATAGTATTCAATTCTGATTTTATGTAAGACCAAAAAAGAAAAAAAAGAAGAAGCTCGGAGTTGCACCACGACCATTTACTCAACATTTATCCTTGAGTAAATCAAAATCGGAAAAATAACTGAGAATGGCACCACGATTTTAGGAAGATTGTTGCCTATAGCATCATAAATCAATTGCTAGACCCAGTTGATACTAAATTTCATCCAAATCACATCGAACTCAATCACTCCGAGTCTTCAAATACCCCAATTGATCGACTAAAAATCATAAATAAAAAAATAAAAAAAATTGGAAGAACTAGGGCAGGCAGCTTACGGTTAGAAAGACGGTCGATTTTCTGCGATGTTTGGTGGATGCGAAGGCCTATTCTGGAAGCCTTCTTGTTGAATTCGGATCGATCCGGAGTTAACGCAACCTGGTCGTTTGATTGCGACGGCGGCGGAGCTACTGCATTTCCTCCTATCCTCCTCAGCGTTTGCGATAAAGACGCGAATTCCGACGTCCGATCACGGAACGGCGAGGCGCCGGCTGCTGCCATGGAGATTAACGGTGATATATTTTCTTCCCCGGTAATAGATCAACGACTTCCCTGCCAAACGTGAAAATCATCAAAAGGAAAAGCGCACAAACATTATTTGGTTGTTTTACGTTATCAGTGAAATGGGCCGGGCGGTCTGAATTTGGTGTACACCAATAGTTGGTTGCAACTGGAAAAACAAAATTATATTTGAGGAGGTTGATTACTTGATTTTAATTTTTATTCATTTGGATTTGGGTATTTCTTGAAAGGAATTACAAAATTTAGGGTTGAGTTGTATGCACTCGTAATTAACTAGAAAGAAAAAAAATTGATATGAAGATATGTAATTGATTTAATTTCCTTCCATAGAAATAACTGAAGAGTATATGATATATCATCTAAAATGTTAAATGTAGTTTTAATTTTAATCGCTTTTGACTTTGTTCCATAGTTGTTTGAAATAGCTTGATTGGATGACAAAATTATGTATGAATGAGTTATATTTTTGAATTTTAGATAACTCGTATCATTGAAGTTGTGGGCAATGTTCATTGATTCATGCATATTTTTATCACCAGAGATCTAATATTTGTGATTCGATTTGAATTAGAAAACTAATTCAAAGAACTACAAATTTCATATTTTGAGTTTTACCAAATTATGCCTAAAAAATGATTAAGATCACTTTCGAAGTCGTAACAATATTATTAATACTAAACGTCATGTACCACATTCCGTATATCATTCATCATTGATGGACATGTTTTTAGGATGGGGATCTCTTTTTCTTTTTCTTCTTATTTTCAGTATACTTTGTAAACTTTTTCATTATTGAAAAAAGAAGTAGAAGATCATAAGAAAAAATAACTCTTTTTCCCCAAAAAGACATATAACTTGTAATATAGACGGCACATAATGTATGTTGAAATAAAATGTTCAAATTAATTAACTCCAAATTTTATTTGGAAGATATCCTTATAATTGATTTGGGTCTGCTGGTCTAGATTAATTTAAAGGCTATTGATGTAGAGGATATCCCCTCAAAATACATGTATTTACAAAAAATATAGGTCCAATATTTTATAAATATTGGCTCTTAGCAACCAACACCTACATCATTTGAGATTCATAGTATATATTAAATTGATATACCAATTATGTCATTTTGTCTCTCTCCCTCCTTTCGATTTCTAATTTGTTCATCTCATTTCTATTTCCAATTTTTGCATGATTTTGTTCTTTTCCATATCAACGAAAACTCCAACAATCTATTTTCTCTTTCAAAAGAAAAACTCCAACAACGAACAACTATGGAAATAAAAGAAAGGGTCTATTAGATATAACCCCCTTAAACATTCAAATAATAAGAGTAGACCCAAATTTAAATTTGCCATTTTGATAAAAGCCCAAGCTTTTCGTAATTACATAATTACCCTCAATCAAATCCCACAAATCCCGTTACTTTACCTTTTGAAATAATATCAAATCCCTTCCTATTTTCCTGTTAACACACTGTCACCCCAAAAACCACTATCAAATAAACTGCAAAAACCTCCCAGAACCACTTCCCGGTACGGCCGATCGAAAGGAGAAGAAGTCTGCACTGCCGTGAAACGACGATTTTCGTGGACTCCGAGCAAGACGCCGTAGGTACGTCTTCGCCGGTCGCTGCATCGCTATCGTCCATCGATTTGTTCATATGTTTTGGCTAAATCGACTATCACGTTTGTATAATTGCAGATCTGTTATAATCGCATACCGAATTCGAGCACTAAATCATTGATATTGCAACAATTGATGGGCAGGACATCCACCAAAAGTGATATCGTCGTTGGCCGCCGTCGCCGTCGCCGTCACTGCTCCAATATAGGGTTACTCAAATCTAGGATTACTCAAATCTAGGGTTTTGATAATTCTTCGGCCCATAGTTGATTAACGAGATGCATAGTCGAATTACATCTGTATTAATATACTATCCCATGTCATTTAATAGACTATCCCACTGGTATAATTTTACTATGGATCTCGTTAATCGACTATGGGCCGAAGAATCATCAAAACCCTAGATTTGAGAAGTGACGGCGGCGGATTTGTGTTTTAAAATTAATAGACTATCTCATATCTTTTAATAGACTATCCCATGTATCTAATTCGACCATGGGTTTAGTTAATTGACTATTGAAAAAATAATAATATATATGGAAACTGAATAATATGTTTGTTTGAAATACTAATCAATTAGGGTAATTTTCCTTATTATATGAAAACGATTAGGGTAAATAATAATATATATGAAAAAATAATAATATATATGGAAACTGAATAATATGTTTGTTTGAAATACTAATCAATTAGGGTAATTTTCCTTATATCATGTAATAGACTATCTTATTGATCTAATTCGACTATGGATCTCGTTAATCGACTATTGATCCCGTATTATTCAACCACATAGTATATTAATAATTTCAATATAGTATATTAATCTGCTATGATAGTATATTATGGTTATAGTAGTGATATGAAATTGTGTTACAAACAATATACCACTGAAATGACAAGAACATTGAGAACAACACCAACGTAAAGTATTCCACATAACCAATAAAATAGTACATTAATAATCTCATAATTTCAATCTAGGGTTTTGATAAAATACATAAAACACATCATAACACAATCAAACCAATATGTCGAGTTAAAAAACTCTAGTACATTAATAATCTCATAATAGTATAATAAAATGATAATGGTAGTATCATACGGTATTCATAATAGTATACTACTGTATTACAACGGTTTAACACTTAACCGAAGTTACCGAGCCATTACATCGTAAACACCTCTTTATAGCTACCAACCCACCAAACCTCAACAAAATCCGTACGAAATTCGCCATCGAAAAAACCTAAAATCATGAAACAAAATTAAAAATGCAAAATACTAAAAAATGATTAAATAGACTGCAAATACATTTGAATGATAATACATTAATATCATCAAAAATAAACTTAAAATGCAAAATCCATACGCTAAATTAAAAAAGACTACGAACTATATTTTAATGTACTACCCGACACACTTAAATCGGCTGTTATAAACAAATAAACCAACTATCGATCGGGATAAAAACATGAACTCGACCACAGCGGACAATTATTCCGATTATTGCATAAACCAACTACGAAGCTCATATAAAACAACTCTGGTCCGATCTGCGTGAACCATCATCTTCTAACTCTGTCAATCCTCTTCCAAACAAACATCATCGGCCAAAAAAAACGATATATATATATGACGGAATAATTTTGTTAAAAAACGTTCTACTTAATAGAATCAAGTATCAACACAACTCTTAAGAAAATTTAACCACCGTACACGACAATCATGGACATTGAGCAAAAAATAAAAACGAATAACGCATTCATACCCGCTTAACAACGTCCAACAACAAACGCTCAAAAATCGATCCTATTTCCACGACGGTGCAGAAATCTTCAAAGACGATGAAACCCGCTGGAACGATGAAGAGATCTTCAAAAAATATTGTACACGATTTGATATAACGGCCAATGATCTCACGTAAATTTATTCCGTGATTTTAGGCAACGTATCAGCAAATCTCAAATCACGTATTAAAGGAAATAAATGCCGTTTAATAATAAAACAGGGGTATTAAAGGGAAATTATATAATATATTTTGCCAAGTTGGCAAAATTGGGTGTATCTCAAAAAGGAGAAAAAAAATTGGATCTACCTCATTAGAAAATATGAACAAGGGGGTTTTCCCTAATAAACCCTAAAAGAAAATAGTAGCTGAAAAAAAAATAAAGAGATACTTTTTAGACATTTCTTTAATTTGATACATGGACAACAAAAAAATATAAGATGTGTGATGTGGCACAAATTAATATGGTAACGTTTAAATTTTTTATTTTTTTATTTTTAACAAACTATAGTTTTCATTTAACTTTTAAAAAGATGCCCAAAATTTAATGTTTTGCATTGGATTAGAGAACCCCAAAACATTGTAGCAAGTTTTAAATGAGTGTTGGGGTCTCAAATTTGATGATTATCATTGTGGATGCTCTAAGCAGATAGTTAAAAAATATAAAGACAAAAAAAAAAAAAAAAACACAACCAACAATAAGAATCACTTCAAAAATTAAAATATCATGATATGTTAATTCATTTTTTGAAAATCTCTCACAAAGTAGATGTACAGTGCATTTTGCCATAAGATATACAATTAGAGGGTAAATTTTGCCAATTTTAATATTTGAGGGTGCAAATTGTCAATTAATGTCAATTTTCGGGTGCAAAACACAATTCACCGTTATCAATTAATAATGAGCATGATTGATTAATAATTTTTTTGAGAGGATGATTGGTTAATATTGACACAACGTATATATAACATTAGTGAGTAAATGTGAAAAATAGTTATTCTAGAAAGGCGAAATCCCTCGCCCCCATCCCTTGGCCCGACAAGGATTGATGGAGGAATGTAAATCATGGTAACTCAACGGCCCGTTAAGGTAGCGGACCCGGACCTGGTGCCCACAAGGAACCAACCCTCATTGGAGTTGAAATTCCCACACTGCGGCTGCCAGGATTCGATCCTAGGACCTTGCACCAACTTACCACCTCCGGAACCAGTTGAGCTACACCCATGCGGGCAAAAAAAAAAAAAAAAAAAAAGAGTTATTCTATATTACATCAACTAAAATACAATGGTAAATTTTTATTCTCTATTTATTTACAATATAATGGGAACTTTACCTACCTTATGTGGTTCAATTTCACGCAGTGTCTTGCAATTCCTCTCTCGCATTCTTTATTTTTCGTGCCATTTCATGCATAAAAAACACACGGTAGGTTTCCATAGTCTCAACAGACAAGCACAAGATTGAGTGCAAGGTCTTTGATTGAGCCAATCAGAGACGGACTACAAGGTGTAATCTCAAAGTTTGTTAAGTTCTTAATTGATCCACCAGAGAACGGACTGCGGGATGGTAGCTCAGAGTATACTGAATTGGAATAAGACATCTCAAAGGGTATCATTTTGGAAGGAGATGGCCATGCCATGTTGGAGGAAAACAATTAATTAGAGGTGATGTCTAGGAAAGAATAGATGCGATACCCTGAGGCGTCGACTGGTTCAGAAGTTTTCAATTGGGAGGTGACAAATTTGGGGGATGTAGGACCTGCAAATAAATATTTGCGAGATGGTG